AAACAAAAATGGATGGGAATGTATAGTGTACAAGTTGTCGGCTAAGGTTGCAAGTGGGACAGAAACTGTCACGTAGTCTGTATTCGTGACACGTGAGCGGATGAATCACCTCTACAGCGGCGGCTGAATTCAGGTGCTGGGCTCGTTTTATATGCAGTTAGTGGAACGGGTGGACGAGAGGGTATGGTCAATAGAAGGTAGAGAATATTTGTGGATGTGTTATCAAACTGGGTATGGCAGTGCTGTGTCGTCATCGGCCTGAGATACTGTGGTTTTTGAACGTCTCCATAACGGGCGCCACATTTAAGATCATCAGACTGGTCAGGGGAACAGGGTAGAACAAAACGATATAAGATCGCGGGATTTTGATCCGTTTGAGGGTCCTGTGTATTTGGATCATACGCCGTGTGGGATGGATAACAACCAACCAGGTAATCCAAACCGGGTGTTGCCGGATTTCGGAGATTGGAAAGATGAAGGAATTGGTTAGATGAGTAGAGTATGGTAATTTAGAGGAGAAATTATATAGGTAGATGTGCACTAACATAAATAGATAGGAAAGCGTGCTGTCTGCTGATATAAGGGTGATGGCAACAAGTTATTATATGAGATAGGGTGTTGATGTATTTCTACTTAGTAGACTAACGACCAAGAGTTGAGTTCCCTAACATGGATCTGGTGCAAGCCGATATAAGCGCGCAGAGTGGTGTTGTTGTTAATAATAATAGTAATTCCCAACTTGTGGTTGGGAAATCCATTGTGTAATGAGTGTTGTGAGTGAACCTCATAGATGATGGACTAGCTAATCTAGTGTTTATCATATGAGTTGGGAAGTACCAGGAGAGAAATAGTCACCAGTCCTCGGAGCCCTGCTGTCAGCCTCAAGTGGTGCATGGAGAATAAAAAACCCTTGGTACTACTCTTGCATGCTGGTAGCGAAAGTTTAGGAACCTCTGTATAGATAATTTCTCAGTGTACATGTTCACTCCTTGGGGCGGTGTGTAGGTGCGTGTGTTTTGTTTGGTTGGCTAAGTGGGCTTTGGTGCGGTACAACCACAATTACGACAAAAGCGGCCACAGCTCCGCACATCGATGTAAGCCCTGGGCACCATAGAGTCTCCAGGCTATGGGTTTGTGTACAACCACAATTACGACAAAAGCGGCCACAGCTCCGCACATCGATGTAAGCCCTGGGCACCACAGAGTCTCCAGGCTATTCCATCTGTTTTTTCACGAATTTATTTTTTTGAAAGACAGTAGGCCAGTATTTATTTTTTATTTTTTCTCATCGTCTGTAGCTTATAGCTTTGCAGATTAAGTAACACAGCTGGGACGAGTCCAGCTCAGCAACAACAAACAGAAAACAACGGCGCTCTTTCTTGATTTCCCGAAATAAAGGCTATGCTCAGAACCACCAACGATGTGTGAAGCACCTGTGCCACTGGAGGGGTGGCAGGTGTACCAATGCGCAATGGTGCACCACAACAGGGCGAGCCCCCCCCAGCAGGACATAACGACCAACACCCGAGGTTTTCGCTCCTCGTGTATGCTGCCAGATCTGCAAGGTAGCATGGTACCAAGCAGTCGTAATTCCGGCTACCAGATATTTTTTCCGGTCGACCGAAAGCCAGGCCAGTAAAACAGCTCAGTCATTTCGAACAAGTAATCGAAAAACGGCCGCTGGAAAAGGCGGGGCGCGGAGGCAAATGAGGCGGCAGCTACCATTGGAACAGTTAACACAGAACGGAGATGGCCAGAGTGTATGAACTGTGGCTAAACGATGGCGGAGCGTGAGCTATCGAGCCAAAGAGTTGCGTACTGCAATGTTGTGTGCGTATGCTGAATAGGTTGCGAGGCGTATAATACATTCTCAGGAATGAGGAAATCTGACTTTCGCCCGTTATAATTCGGCTATGTTAAGGTAAGACGAGGCAAATTCAATTAACAGGGCGGACAGAGTAGTCCAGGGCAGAGACCCGGCTGGGAGGAACATGGTGTAAGTTGCTCTAAGCAGATCAAATGGGTTGAAGGTGGGTGACTCATTTTATTATTATTATTATTGTTATTATTATTATTATTATTCGTCCACCAAATATAACTTTCTCACGCTCAGAGGTGGTCTTGACTCCGTTCACAAAGGAGATCGGGTGATAGTTGGGTATTACGCAGTCTCACACGTAAGGACGTAGTGTTGTCCACATACAGGAACCCAAAAACAAGGAAAACTTCGGGTGTGAGCTTCAATTTAACCAATTTTCCCTCTACATGTTCAATCCTATCTGGTGGATGGCATGCCGCCAGGCGTGATCATAATGGTACAGTCAGAAGAAAGGCGTGACCGATGAAATTTTTCGTGTTCTCGGACTTGCGTTGAAGTTGGGCAGTCATGCAAATAGTGAGCATTAGCTGATGCAGATGCGGCCTTGCCTTAATTGGCACGATCGAATTACGGTGGACCCCTAGGGAGGAGATAGAGTTATTGGGATTTTCATCTTTTAGGGGATATTAAATTAAGACAGGCGCATATCGTTACGATGTGGGGGTGGCGGGCAATGACAGTGTGGGGAAAGTGAAACAAAGTACTGCGCCTGGTACGGGGGGAGAGACTGCAAATCGCGGAAAATAGGGAACCACAGCAATGAATCTTGAGTGGCAACCGCATTTCGGTGGTCCGGCAAGCGAATGTAAGCTAAACATTGTTGAGGCTCTGTGGGATTGGGCGATTGGGTTTGTGGGCGGGCGGGGGGGGGTAACTGGAGAAATTTGCACTACGGATTAGTGGTAAGATGTGTTTTAGTGTCACGGTGCACACTGAAACCGTATAGACTCACTAGTGTCACTTTCAGAGCGGGGTGGGATGCAAACGTTCCTTGGGAAGGTGAAATAGGGCTAACGGAAATAACAGACCGCGACATGTGAAGAAAATCGTTGAGTTCGTGAAGTGAAAATCTGAAATTGCATCTTGTTGTTTATATCCAAGTAAAAGTTTGGATTGATTGGACAGACCTAGCCCAGGTATGATTGGGTCCAGGTAGGTAGTTTGTTAGTATCTGTATCTGAGGCTCCGAGAGGAAGACGGAGACAGCCCGTGTTATGGAGAATATAGTTGCGGATGCTGCATCAAACCCGGAACGGCAGTGCCGTTCCATCATTGCAATGGTATGCTCCGGTTTCTGGATGGCTTCGTAACGGACGTCGTGGTTTAGGGTTATGGGACCGGAGATGTGTAATTCTGTGAACATCAAAATTATGGGATCCACAGTGGTAAAGTAAAGTCAATGTAGGGTGACAGGTAGTTTTTGTTTTGTCAGCGGTCCATAAGAACGTAAATCAAACTACGGACGGATTCGATAGCGATCATAAAAGGCGTTCAAGGCAGCTACTGCCGAAGATCAAAGCAAGATAAGGGGGTGGAATGGAATGAGATCAGCAAAGCCTGATAAGTGTGAGCAGGTACAAATGGCACTGGGTCCAATAATAGAAAATAACTTGAAGTTTATTACTGTTGAGGTGGTGAGAGGCTAGTATAGGGGTAAATTTAACTGAGTAACCTTGCAACGAGGGACTGATTAAGCTGACCAATATAACACGAATAAAGTACACGGCCATAGAACAAACTAGTACAGGAACGCTTCTGTCTGGTGTGAAGTTGGTGGGCGGATGAGATGCCATGGATGCCATGGATGCCATGGCTTAAAACTGGCTTAATCAGCTTTAGCGCATGCATGAATTTCGATCGTGCAGTGGATCAGTTACGTTACGGTAACGGTATTGCCTAAGAAAGGGTTATCAGGGACATTAGGCCTTACACCGTTGCGATGCTTCCGGCCGGCTGTATCATCAATCATGTCAATAACCGACAGATCGTTAGCCCTTTAACAGAAAGGCTGTGTTTGTTTATGAATCTGGATCTACACGAAGTAACAAGCAATCTCATTCCATAGCTTGAAGGTCGGATGCGGGCGCACAGACACAGGGGCACCGAGGGCAGCAAAACAACAGCTAAGATGCTTGTTAACGTGTATATTTTGGCACTGTTGAGCAGTTTAGTGGGCCCAACACGGAGTGCGACCGGCGAAAGAATTTACGCCTAACCGACCTCTATGGAAAACTAGGCATTTAGAATATGAAGAAACCTGTAAGCAGTTGGTGCGCCAAAAAACTGAAAACTTAGAAACACGGTTGGGTTGATTGTTCAAAATGGCTCACAGGATTATTCATAGTGGAATGTAAATAAGCATGATCTACAGCATCCGTTTATGGCAGGAAACGAGGTCCCGTGGGGAGAATGCCATTCTGCGCCTGAATAGTTCTGTTTGAAGAGACCAGTGCATCCTTTACGCCGTGGACCGCTGGCTGCTTGAAAGTTAAACCAGTATCCTGAAAAGTCATGGGAACCGCTGGTTGTATTATGTGAAATTAACCAAAAACGGCACCCACACCAAACTAAAACCAACCTTGTGTTACTGAGGTATTCATATTGATATTAGAAAGGGGAAAACTAAGAAATATGTAGCTGAGAAGGCAGGATCAATTGTCTGGTCGAATGTCAAGAGGTAGGCGGGCCACCGAGCATTTGTGGGAAACTAAAAAGAAGGAAATTGTTGCTCAGCATTACAATCAAAGGGGATATCTGGAAAAAACAAAAGCAAAATCACTGGATTCAAAATCCTAATCACGCTTCGTGCTAATTCTTCACAATTAAATAGATAAATGTCACAGTTGGACGACATTCTCTACAGGGAGGCTACTTTACCCAAGTTTTCCGATGCTCCTTGCTTATGCAGTCTGGGGCAGTTGATTGCATTCTGCCGTCGAATCTCAGCCGATTCAAACGATTGATCGAAATCAATAACAAATCATTTGGGGATATTCTGGTTCAGACCTGTGATATTCATACCAGTTTTGCGGTAGACGAGGCTGAAATGTGTTACCTACAATATGCACTTAGCATTGAACTGAGTTTCGTTTTTCAGTACACCGAATTTCAAGGTCCCCCGGGAGAGGACAGTTTAGTCTCACGCACGTGCTTCAATGGATCAAAGAGCGACTGATGCCATCCCTGTTAGACGGGTTCGACTGACTGATCCGTCGCAGTTACCCCAAAACCTAGGGTATGTTAACAGTTCGTTACACTTCCACTCATGAATTGTTGTCGCAACCAATGACTTTACTTAAAGTGTCATGTTCGAATATCATTATTACCACAACTTTTCGATTTTACATTTTTGTGGCTTATGAGGAGTTCATGAAAGGCTTCGTAGGATTTTAATGACAAACATAATCTTACTTTGGTTTATGTGCACTGCAACAGCGTTTCTTACAATAGCGCTCCGTCTTTGCCTAAGAAGTAAAGTTTTTTCGTAAGTATAATCCCGGCGAGATACACGGTTTCTACATGCATGTGGTGCGCCTGTTGACACAAATCAGTGACACCTAATGCGCCATCCAGGGACTGTGTAACTATACAGTCGCAAATGAGGTATTAACCGTGCAGGTCCAATTGAAGTGGGATTGTGGTATCCGTACAGCGAAGGATACTTGTTGAATACAGTTTTATCCGTGAGAGAGGGGGGGGGGGAAATTGTTGTCTAGAGGCGGTGTGATGCTAAGGTGACTAGATACTACAGTGGAGTTGGAAATGACATTTCATAAACTTACTGATATAAACGCTCTTCGATCTCTATTGTTCCTCATTGAATCTCAACCTTTCAACTGGAGTGGAAGCTGCCAACTGTGACGCCAAACTTCACTGCTTACTCCTCATTTTAGTGTATCCCTCTCCGTGGAATAGTTCCGGTTTATGGCTTCGTTTTCTGGTGGAGATCCGACAGCAGCAGGGTCAGATGATGTTAGGGAGATGGGGCGGTGTCAGTTGACATCCCAAACTAAGCAGTGTTCTTAGTTTAAATTGGTCACAACATTTGCATATTCAGGATCAAGCGCAGAACTTATTCCCTGAGTTCTCCTAGACATACTGGCCGATAAGCTAATCTGGCACGTAATCTGATCACTCTCGGTCGACCTCTGCTGCGTCTCCGAAACTCTAATACAAGGTCCAGGTTTCCTAGTTTAAGCACTCCTTCTAATAGACGAAACTCAAGAGGATTTCCGCCTGGTGTCCTGCAGTTGGACACTGTTCTACTTGAGTTCGCCCATAAGATTAAGCTCACTTCCGGCGCCGTCACTGAATTGCTCAGTGAGCTAAGACATACGGAGCACATGGTCGAACTTGCTTGATTGGTGTATCCGGAACAAATCATCACCTGGACAAGCATACCATTCGTTGCTAAGAACATTCGTCCCACACCATGGCCGATAATTCGATGTTCCCTAGCCTAGACAGAGAAAGTCCAGAGGCAGAGGTCGGGTTCGAACCACGAACCTTCCGGTCAGTAAATTCGCGCTCTAACCGCTTGAGCCACTTCGACTCTAGAGATACCTAAGTTGCATCGTCGACAGCATGACATCAGTGTTCAACCCCGATGCTTCACTGTCGTTGAATGAAAACAAAACAAGCTTAAGCGATTCCGCCGTCCTTTTCGACAATGCTACCATCACAAATGAGGGAACTGCCCCAATAGGTAAATCTGCCTACCAATACTCACTCATCCTCAACACCCTTTCGATGACTGGTTGCTTTGTCAGCCGAAAGAAGCGTGAGGACTGAGGTATTGGTAGGTTGCCAAAGCCTAGACAGAAGCAGTCGATATGCTGGTTTAGGGTTCCGATCACGGACCTTCCTCTCTAAAAGTTGGCTCTGACCACTGAATCATCTCGAGGTTAACCTGACTACCATCTCTAGTGGTTTGGCCAGCTTGGTGGTCTGCTTACCTAGTCTTGCAATCACTGTGAGTGGAGATCGCATACGAAAACGCATAGCACCTTCATTTAGATTGCGTGCAGTTCAGCTGGAGAGATTCGGCCCTTATCGAAATACCGCCAAAGAACCCCAGAAGCTAGTTGTAAATACACATTATGTAGCGGCTACTCAACAGGAGGGAAACGGCATCACTGTCGATTTCATCCTTTTCGACCGCACCAATAAAATGCTATACACAGAACTCCGTGGCATTAGTTCACGTCTGTGGTTGACAAGCCAAGCCTACTTGGTCATAGACGGTGCACCCCAAAGACCACCAAAAAGGTCACTTCTACATAGGAGTTGATACATTACTTGGATCGGTTTCGAAAACAGACAGTATTGTGTTCATGTAGAAGTTCGACGCATGTTTCGGTCGAGGTCATTCCCTGTAACCTGTCGAAACTACAAGCGCCATGGTAACCGACTTCTCAAACCGCGCTTGGTAACACCAACACAAGACTTCGCCTCGAATTGTAACAAATAGCCACATCAAGATAGCTCAGTCGTTAGGGGGGCGAACTTACTGACCGCAAAATCCATGTTTCAAACCCGACCTCTTCATCTCGACTTCCCCTGTCTAGGATTGGGCAACCTGGCAGTATCCTAGCCCTTGTGTTTTTTTCGAGTGGCATGTCAGCTAGGCACCGGAAGAGTGCTGCAGCTGAACGATCCTTCACATCGAAGTGCCCACAGAGCAGATCGTGGGTTCGAAAGCATCTATTTCAACTGGATCTAAGCACTGAATCTAAAATTGTCCAAAGTTCGGACTCGTATTCCTTCTTATCGAGAGTACATTACTATCGAGGAACTGTCAGACTTCATGTGGAAAAGTGCTCTATGTGGACGAAGAAGTTTGGTGGATCCGGATAGCTGAGAGGGTGGATAAAGCGAGAGATTGGGAATGTGCGTAAACTGTTCTAGCTGATACGCGCCACCAATGACTGAAAACGTTTCATTTATATGGTAACAAGAGCATCTGAATCGCTGGGTTGAACACTTCCGGAAACTGCAATCGCTCAACCGGGTTTCCGGCCCACAACGCAGCGCTAGACAATCAACTTGGAACCTAGGACATTTTCAAAAATATGCGAATACCTTTTGTCCTTCGAGCGTCACGAGCTGTTGGTCCTGGTGGACTCCCTCTGGCTTTGTTCAAAGGTCGAAGTGAAATCCTCAGTTGGTGCTTATTTGAATTATTTGCCTCTGCGGGGACGAGATAGCTCAAATGGTTAGAGCGCGAATTTACTGACCGGAAGGTACGTGGTTCGAACCCGACCTCTGCCTCTCGACTTCCCCTGACTAGGCCTGGGCCACCTGGCAGTATTCCAGCCCTCATGCTTCCTTCGGGTAGCATGGCAGCTAGGCACCGGAAGGGTGTTACAGCTGAGCGATGCGATTTGCGTCTGCGAAGGAAAAGGCCGACCAAGCCAACAGCGATAAGTCGATTTTCAAGAGGGAGGCCTTCAGTGACGTCCAGCTGGACCTCCGTCGCAGCCACAATTTGCATCGTTTGTTCTACGTCATACAAAAGTACGTGCAGATGGGACACGAAAGCAACCAGCGGGATTCCAGCCGGGAAAGGGGCTTGAGTGGATTAAATCTTCACTTAGGTGTTGGAACATCGACGTGCATATGAGAGCCTTTGATTTCCAGAATGCTTTCGATTCCCTCGACCGATTAGTTGCTTTCAGCTCCTGTGCAACAGAGTATCCTCCAGAAGTTCGTGAATGTCATGCGCTGTTTGTATTTACATGCTTGTGGCTGCGTTTGTGCTGAGCTTTCCAAAAGCTCTCCTACAAGTAGTGCTGTTCGCCATAAATGTCCACTCTTTTGGTCTCCACTGATGCATCAGTCAAACTTGTCAGTTACGCATTAATGGAGAAGACAAACGAGCTTGAGGAAGTTGTCCTATAAACAACTAAATCGTTCCGTGATATGGAACTCAACTGAGCCAAAATATAAAAAGAACTAGCATTCCAATAGGGTGTCAATCGAAGGCTGAAATGTAGAAAACAAGGTTTCAGTATATGGGACAAATTGTTTGCAAAGTGGATTTGTTTGTTTGAAGGCGGTCCTCCTAACATCCACTTCTCATCTTTTGTTCAATTCCGTCATTGTTGAGTTGACTAGACAAAAACTGAAAGGTCTCCAAAACCTCAGTGTTCAGCTCTCTCCGAGCGAGAACCTTGACCTGTAATATTCAGTTAACATGATTCTAATTTCTAAAGTAGGAAGTGCAAACATTGAAAATAAACCGACTTGTGCTTCGCGCTCACAAAGTATGCAGTTATGTAGCGGGCATTATGTCCTTAAGCATGCCTCTAGGAATTCAAGGAGTGACACGGGAACGCTATAGGTAATTCAACTGTAGCAGCAGTTAGACCACAGAGGTTGAACGGGCCTCGGTTTCCACCTAATGTGGTTTTAACTTTGTTATGTAAACCAAGGAAGTCATGGCCTAGCAGCACTCAAACTGAGTAACACCAATAGTTTGATTTTTTTGTAACCACTGCCCCTGTAATCGATGGATGTGTAGCAGTAACCGTTAGTTGAGCACGTCAGAGAGTTAGATGCCATGACAATCACAGAATTGCTAGCATATATCTTCGTACGAATTACCAATTACTGCTCGAACTTCCTGTTTCTATGAGGGCGTGAAGTGATATTCCGTTTACTATTATGCTGGTCACCGTGTGGGACAAGCAGTTCATGACTGCAGCAGTCAACAGGAAGATAAGGCAGAGTTCGTCGTGCAATTTGAGTAATTTTTGACAGATCGACAAATACGTTGAAAATGGCCTTTTTGTCACAGGATTTACAAACTGCTTCTCTTGCGGAGCATTTGGACCGTGGATGCCTGGAACGACCACAAAAATAACATTTGAGAATCGATTAACGAAAGATAGGGTGTGGAATTAGGGAAGGTTGAGTGTGAAGAGGTAACTGTAGATTTCTCCAAAGGTGCTATAGTCGCAAAAAAATGATATTGGCTGGTTATGCGAGTATGACAGCTTGCTTGCGGGCCAATTCTTATGACCTAGCCGATGTGCTTCATCGAAAGTGAGTTCATTTTGAACCAGAAGTCTTTCTCTGATGGTAGCTGGCTGAAATTCGTTGATCAGAGCATCGCACACACTTTCGTTTTAGTGGTTGCTGGCGGACACCGCCTTGAGATCGCAATTTTTGGCCAAGGATTTAAGCCTCTGAACAAACTGATCAACATCTTGACTGCTGTCTTGTTTGCAAGTTTGTAGAAGATCACGAGCATAACTTATATTCTTAGGACGAACTCAAAACTTTTCAAGTGTACTGATAGTGGGTTCGTAATTGGGACAGTCAGTGATGCAAACGATGCAGGTGCATCCACAAAATGGATCAGGGTTTCAAGTTTTTGCACATCAGGTGATTCGATAGTGCCCATAAACGTTTGGAAAGTTCGGAATCAATGATTCCAAAGCGTTCTGGCGCCTGGAGAATTAGGATCTATGTGGAAACACTAGCGTCGCAGCAACAAGACTGAACGGCGTAGAATGAGTAGTGCTTTGCTTAACTAAGAATAGACGTACGTCATCCAAAAGGATGAGGAAACGGAAGATGTGCAAAAGGCTGCAAACGTCCGCAGGCTTTTCCACTCGATTAGTTCGACTGGTCCTCGAAAGCCCCTTGTCAGTGAAACCTTCAGGGATGAGGATGGCTCTCTGATACTCAGCAAAGGAGAACGTTTGAACCGTTGAACACAACACTTCGATAAACAATTCTGTTGGCCACCTGCTATCCCAATCCGGATTCCTGGCCTTCAGTAGAAAGGTGGACCGTGAGCATGAAATCCCCATCAGCCTCAAAAGTGTCCGAGTGTATAGTCCTACTCAAGCTTTATCGTCCTCGTGGTCCCGGCGACCTTGCACTTGATGTATTCAAGGATGATGATGAATTCCTTAATCAGTGCCTACCTACCCTACTCCTCTCTATCTCGGTAAAAGAGAGTACGACGGTAAAGCATCAGTACCAACACTGATGTTGCTGTCTTTAATTATGATGATGATGATGATGATGATGGTATTGTTGGTGAGAACCTAATCAATCTGGAGTACACAGACAGCAGTCTTCATCCTTGAAGACGAAGCTCTGTTGTATCGTCTTTCAGCATGCAACGTGCAGTTCTCCAGTCTCCGAGTTTCAAGGAGAAGCACTGGAGATTGTGGAGAGTTTTACGTATCTCAGTAGGTGCAGACGCAGGAACACCTGCGTCCCAAGGGTCCTTTGCAACAGGCTACAGTATGTTGTGTGGTCGAGACACGGCCCCTACAGACAGACGATCCAAGGCGTCTTCAGGGTTTTGACCACCGCTGTGTCAAGCGTTGGCGTCAAGGAATTCGTAACGAGGTAATTAGAAAACGGGCATTTGATGGCGCAGAGAGTACTCCACTCGCGGGAAACATCCAGCATCATTAACTGCTCTGGCTTGGTCGACAGAGGTGCGTGAGAGATAGTGAGGAGTTTCGGTGTTATTGGTGGTGTCCCCGTGAGCCCCTTGCATGCGGCTAGCAACGGTGCCTGTGTCAAGGGCGTCAAGGAATTCGTAACGAGGTAATTAGAAAACGGGCATTTGATGGCGCAGAGAGTACTCCACTCGCGGGAAACATCCAGCATCATTAACTGCTCTGGCTTGGTCGACAGAGGTGCGTGAGAGATAGTGAGGAGTTTCGGTGTTATTGGTGGTGTCCCCGTGAGCCCCTTGCATGCGGCTAGCAACGGTGCAAGGGATGGCGGCTGATCGGTGTCAGTGACATTCGTGCTGCCCAGTTTCTCAGTTTGACTGAGCGCTTGCAGGTGCAGAATGTTTGTTGAAGGCCGGCACCAAGTCCGTCCCTCATGCACTCGTTTGTTTCACTTAAGGCTTTTAATACAGTAAAATAAACTTTGGTTGTAAGGATGAATTGTCAACATTAACAGTGATGCTTCTCTTTCTGGTGATGCTGATGACTAATCATTGTTTCCTCGTGTGGGTGAGTTAGAGATACTGCTTTCATTGTCTCATCGAGTTACGTCCTGCAATCAACTACTGCAGTCCTCTACACTCATTCTTGACCGCAACTCTAGAAGATATTTTGAGTTTCATCACAAGCTTCCGCCTCGTGACTATGTAGTTCTAACCTGCTTCTTTCAGTTGACTGTATCGTTTCGAACTCACCTCCAGCGCATCTTATAGGTTACATGGCAGTTGCTCATTGTAAGGACACCAGAATTGAATAATTCGATTTACGATTAGTCGGATGCCAAGGACAAATGCACATTTCCTTCTTTGGGAACATTCTAGACGATTTTGCCGTATAATAATAAGCTATCTGCTGGTCACCCTTTATTGTCATCGGCATTTTTTATCGCTCACCCCGGCAGACCATGAAAGTTCTGTCGTGAAACATTCATATAAGTTTCGCCATGTCGAAAACAATTCTGTGGTATTTTACAACCAGTGTGATGGAGGTTTACCTCAATGTTCTGCTTCTTTTTGTCCATTTTGTTCACATCATTTCGCTTCAAACACCGTATACCCCATAAAAGCGTTCTTGTTTGACAACTTTTCAGCACCACTCCCGGTGGAACCCTGTTCAGCACAACACCCGGGGGCACCCGTGTGATTTACGATCGTGATTTTATGCTCCATTGTAAAGATTCTCCTGTAGCTCGAACACCGCCCTCAGAGTTGCCTAAAATGCCTGGTTTCTCTATCGGCGGTGACGTAATGACTTCACAGCCTCCATCTCAAGAACCGGTTGAAAACGGCGCTTCTAAAGGTAGGTTACTTTCAAACGATAATCTGTCTCGAGCGTCAGTTCCTTTAGAAATAACCAATAGTGGGTAGTGTTTCGCACATATCAACTCTTCCAGTGAATGCTTCAAATCTTACTCTTATTTCATTCGGGTTTTTAGGGCCTAGATTTAATTCTCCCAAGCACTGTAAGCAACTGATTTATCTCTCAATCAGTGTTCACTCAGTGCAATATCAACTTGGGAGAGTGACTTTTCTGTCATCTTCCCCTACACCATAATGCTCCCACACCCTTGGCAGGCGTTCATACTCTAAGTTAATGACATGGGTACACTTCCCATGATAATTGTTTGCACTGAATGCTTGTCACTGATACAGATCTCCAACTCGGATGACAATGAATGATTCCGTTTGATGACGTACATGCCCCGTTCCTTTTCAGGTGAAGAACATCCATTCGATATGGACCTATGATCCAGGATTCAGTTATTCTTCCCAGAGCGCCAACTATTTTGTATTTCTACAGCACCCGGTTTACTCTCATCCCTTCATTCTATCAGGTGCGTTTCTATCTTTTTCTTCAAGCACCGGCATTCGTTGTGTTTCATGTGTTCCTCCCATGTCCCTATCATTTCTGCTACGTTTACACGCTTTCGTTTGCGTTGTGTTGTAATAAAATGTATTCTGCTCTTGATATCCGTATGACATGAGTGAAGTTCTAGCACTGCCTACCATGGGCATTCCATACTGGTGTTACATCTAGGATCAAAAGTACCCTACCTGTATCACGCCGTTTACCGGTTCATATTTGAATTCGTCGGGGTGTGCAAACTAATGGCGCGATTTAGCAACGCGAACCATGTAGTAACAGTACTGGTCTACAATTACCAAACCCAACCGATAGTTGGCAACTCCTACGGAAGAGAACTGTATGGAGCGTTATACGGTCAGTAATCAGGCGGCGCGCCACAAAATGTTAATGTAGCGATCAGGCGTACATTGAAACAAAAGCAGATGTACATAAGGTTGATCTTAGGGAACCGAAAATAGGCGTGCGCAACACAGGCCGTCTGTCCCAGAGTGCTTTTCAGTCAGCTACACGTAGGCTGGAAGCGAACAAGGCGTTTCCAGTCTATGATTTGACGACGAAATACCGAAATCTCATCTAGCAAACTCCAGCAGCTGCCGTCTCCCTGGATAGGGACTCCGAGCATGAAGCAGCAATGGCTATTAACTGGCAGGTCGTGTAATCTTGCATCAAATCTCTTCCCATTGAATTGTAGTTGTCAGCTAACGTTGACAATTTCGCATCTTTGAGGTGGATAGGTGTTCACCCCCAACGTATGGCTGCCTTGTCTTCCCTGTTATGGATTAGGAAACCTGCAGAATCTTGAACCGATACGTTCTTGATACACGGTTGGTATTTGCGTAACTGAATGATCTGAACCAACCAGGCTATTGGATGCATCCCTTCGATCGTCGGCATAAGAATCGAATCTTATCGTTGAAGCACACTGTGAGCTAGTGTCTGCGTTGAGTTAATCTTGAATCTGTGAAACATGGGACGTATCTTGAGAGTTGCATTAGCTCTTATGGCATTGTGAGAAGCGAAGTCTACACATCAAAGGGGCATATCACTGGGTCTCAAGGGTCACGTAATCATGCTACGGTGTACTACTGTTTGGCTGCGAGACTTGGTCAATTAGGGCGAAGGGTGTAGGCGAGCCAAAGGTGGTAGAGCACTGCATGACAGCAAAGTATGGAAGCCATACCAGCTAACTCAGCTGTGTTGGTCATTGCCATCTACCTGGATGAGGTCCCCGATAAGGCGCGTACCAATGGTTATAGACATTGTCAGACATGGCCCAGTCGCGCTCCCAGTGGCGTTCATGCATCCAGACAGTTGCCCTTATTGCGTACCTTCCCTCCAATGTGTAGCTATCTACCCACCTCTCCAAATCATCGGTGAATGAAACTGTAACATCTGTAGCTACCGTATGTCAAGTACGCGGTTTTCACAATTGAAGATGTTTGAATAGGGCGGATTTGTGCGTTGTTAGTTACGCACAAGTGTTGGGTTGAGAAAAACATCGATGTGACCTGGTTTCGAGTTGGCATTCACCTACCGACCACGAACAGATAAATCTTCTATACTGGTTAACCAAGTTTATTAGAAAGAGACGTTTCAGGTCAATCTTTGGTCGAAAACATCGTTAAGAACAGTTTTATGGGTCAATGTTCCGACAGCCGTGCATGGATTTCGTCGAAAACGAACCAAAGGGGACCACAAAATAACCCCTATCTCCCCCAGGCAACCCGATCAAGTCCCACAAATGTATCTTCAATGAAGTCTTAATCAAACAACAAGTCCACTATTAACGGGATTTTGGATGCAGAGAATTTCCCTCCATAGCTGGATCGGTTGCCTCCGTTTCGTAGTCAAGTGCCAACACGCGAATATATTGGTGCGATATTGCAATGATAGTTCATATGATCTCGTGATGCGCACGGTACTGTTATGCATATTCTCAGACCAGCTCGTACAACATTCGGGTGAGATATCAGTATTCACCTTTGGCTTGGTATTATTGGGGTTGGACTTCTAATTTGGAAAGACCTGGAAGGCCATCCGCAAAACCATCAAAGAAGCGTTCCAGCTCATCTTGGATTAAACATATAAGATGGCTCCGCACACCCTCCGACAGAGTGCTTCGAATTCCGACTTTACGCCAGAATGCAGAAATGCCAACAAGAAGGTAGAAAGGCCTCGGTTTTCTGCACCTCTCTTCTCCATGTAGACGAATTTCGACGAGCTCCCGGATATCTGCTTACCTTCCCTCAACCCATTTCGTATATTCAAACAATTCTTTCAAGTCATTCCTTCTGGACCAGCCTTGTGTGGGTTTGAATCCAATCATAGGACCGTATATTAGTGACAGTGCCCAAAGTCCCTCAATAGGCGAGTTTTTCCATCTCGATTCTCAACTATGAGAGAAGAGTTCTAAACACCCTAAAATACATCGATAGCACCGTAATCACAAGTGGATAAGGGCAGTATCACTGTCGCCATTTACAGAAGGACAATGAACGCCTAGCTGGACATTTTAGAGAAATTGGCTGCTGGACGATCAGATCAAAAATAAATACGAGTAAGGTTGAATTTGGGATGCACTGAAGATCGATGATAAATCATCTAGGACAAGACAACTGACATGTATAATATCCTAAAAGTGTAAACCAACCACAATTTAATGGTCTATCTAAAATTCACGAAGCGGTTATCCCCATAAGATCAACAGTGAATGGCGTAGAATTACCTCAAGATAAGTTGACCGGATTTCTGGCGGGTATCCCAAAACTAAGTATAGGTAATTTATCCGCAAGCCTATTAAAAATTGGTCGGTGGCTGGATTTCTGTCGCAGCTAGACTGGTTAGTCGTGGTTTCAAATCCATGTACACGAATGTTCGTAAGACGAACACTCTGGCGGTGGCTAGGCGATTACTAATTGCAAACCAAACACTACAAAACGGGTGCAACTCTCCGTATTTGAAATATCTGTAGGCATCATCTCTTGTAGGAAACTACTCACAGGGTTACTGCAAACTTTTCCACAGCCCTGCTTCGGGCTGACTAGTTAGGCGTAGTGCCCAAGTTTCCGTCAACTTTATGTTCTACTCGATTATCATAAACGGAGGATTGAATCAGGATTCAGTTGAGTCTCATGTTAATGCTTGACTGGTGTGCAACCAAGTGTCTTTCACGTTTAAACTTCACCCGATGTGTTCATTGCTCTTACGTACTCCCACAAACAAGGTCCAACGATGGGACCACCGATTTTGGCCAACATGTAGCAGGAATCTTTAGTCAGTTTTTTTTTGTTCACGCTATAAAGATGGCGCATTCGTCGCGATCAGTAGGATCGCGTCAATATCTCAACACGTAATTCTTACATTGAGTTCGCTATGGAGTGTAGGAGCCCCCTTCCATCCTTGAGTTCCTCACATATAGGAGCGGTGGATAATTAAGAACCACCGTTTACCGGAAGCCAACATACACTGTTGCAGCCAAAAACTACGTACCTGCCCATCCGAAGGCAGTGCCAAATTTTATTGTTTTAGCAATGTGTATTCGAGCAAGATCGCTGTTCACAGAAGTGGCTGACCGAAGGATGGTAAAATTGACTTGAAGAGGGAAGAAGGATAATTAAGCGACAACTAAGACGGTCCCAGTCCCTAGAATCAACAACCAGCGGGTTGGAACATCAGCCATTTCGTACAAAACAGGGGCTTATGAAGTTAGTAGAAAGTCGTTGAATGTGGTTAACATTGGAGTGACGCTGCAAAGGAGTACAACTTTGCGCTCAGTGTTGGTGAAATTGAAGCACCGTTTCCGGTTGAAAGGACTAGGGACTGTCTGCACAAAGTAAAATGTAACGACCGTATGAAGTTTTACACACGTCGAACAGCCAGGGACTCGGACTGCTGAATCAGTCAGCACAAGCGGTGCATCAGCAGACTCACAAGATGAATATCAGGTGCTGGTTCAAAACTCGGGCAATGGCGGGGCACAGAACAAATTTGGAAAGTGTGTTAATTTTAAGACAAGAGCTCAGATTCGCACAACAGCAACTAGTGGCCGGGGCAGCATCCCGGCTTGAAGAAAATGGCGGGCAAACGCAAGTGGGTGGAGAGCGGTGGTAGATCAGTCAAGTTGACGCGTGATGGCATGCCGTTATTAGTGAAATGGCCCGGGTCCACAGCACAAAACCCAAGCGGAATAAGATCCATCTAATCCCATTATCTTAGCATTCCCTAACACACAGGCCAACAAAATTCGTGGACGAAACTCAAGAGGAATATTCAACTGACCCCGGACACCAAGGTCCCAAACCATATTCAATATAGTGATGATTTCCGCCAAACCCGTCCGTAATAAGTGTTATTCACCCACAGTAACCCAAAAGAAGCCTTCATTCAGTCGACCATCTGAAAGAGGCCTCACTGACTGGTTCTAAGCCTGTCTTAGAACTCGGCCAACCAGATAAACTATTCACTTGGTCTGATAGACCTTTTGCGTCTGCGAAACGTTACCCAGTAATAAGTCCACCCATTGTTGACCAAACCTCCCTGAAAAGATGGTAAAACATGGTCTCAAGTGAGGTTGGTCACATGCAGCTCACGATAACCATGGGACAGATATTTGTATAGTTCATATTTGCATACGGATTGGGATACTACCGGAGTTTCCTCCTATCTATCAGATTGGTTAGGATCCTTGGTCAGAGCCTGACTGAAAGACTGACAGTTAGTCTGCAACTAACAGATTACTCTTACTTTCAGAGTACAAGTTGTCACACTTTCCAACGCCAGTATGGAGGACCAAGAGGCCGCGTTCACCTGAGCCCCACCAACTTATCGTGGGAGACTCTGTTGTCGTTGCACGGTATGGACCAATGGGCCCCGAAGGTGCGCAGTAAAGTCATCCCTTCCTGACGGTCACATACAGCTACAAATAGACCAACGGAGGAAAAAGTCAATTGTAGCAGTTCTCCATTACACTTCACCACTTAACGATGTCCCACGAGATAAAACAGAAGCGGAAAAATAGGACTTTAAAATAAATCGCCTTGGATTCGTGTTTTTATGCAGCTCTTACGAGGCGTCCAAATAACTTGGTTCAGTATTAAAGGGAATATATGCT